CAGCCTCATACAGAGACAGTTGGGCGCCCAACCGAACGAGGCCCAACAGCCCAGTAGCTGCTGCATCCAGACAGCATCCTCGGGCCTTCCGGAAGCTGCTGGGCCCAGGCCAGCCCAGCCAGGATGCGAGAGCTGGCCAGCTCTTTTCCATAAAGGAAAGAGCTCTGGCTAGGCAGCTCATTCGGTCACTTGCTGGCTGGGCGGCAGCGCTGCTGGAGCAAAACCTCGCAGGCTGACTGCCGGCAGAGGAGCAAGGGGCAACACACGTGCAGTCATGTAGGGGAACAGGGCGCTGCTGAGGGCAGCGCCATAGGCAGCCTCCATAGCGGGCTTGGCTTGGACAGAGTGAGGCGCAGGGGTGGTTCTTCGGGTGTCAGAGAGGACAGGTGTGGGTGAAGTCAGGGGATAGGTGAAGGATGATGATGATGATGATGATGATGTGAGGGCACATACCTTGTATTGGCGATGGTCTGCATGGGCGGCATCTTCAAGTACTTCGGGCTGCTGCTGATGTCAACAGTTGCATTGTCTTTTTGTAGTCTGTAGTAGCTGTGTAAAAGTAGGCTGGGCACTGAGCGCCAAGTGTGAGTGTAAGGGAACTGGATACTTGTGTTGAAGAGGAAAGAGTGTGCTCTCCATAAACATTGTTTTTCAGTGCTACGAAACTCCATTGGTGTATTATTGGTGCAATGCTGCTATCTGGACACGGTGTGACTATTTGACTTGCAATGTGATGGTGTGATCGGGGATTGTCATCTCTGTGTTGCTTATTTTCCTTCCAACGGTAATGAGCCCTGGCAATTTGGCAAACATCTCCATAATGTTTCAGGTGCACTTGTGCTATCCATTGCCAGTATAGATGTACGAGACACATTAAAGTTTTTTCATATTGATGGAATTCCGTCCGAAGTCTCCATAAGTTATAACATAAAGCGATTCAGCACGCCTTGGGCTTGATGCATGAAGCTTCTTCAGCTACACTAGAAAGCCCTCTTTTTTGTGCCAACTCCGACGCCGGACCGACGGTGTTGCATTGTCATCAGGCTTCCTGTCCTCCCGGGGGCCTAACACCTTCAGACTTCAGTCCTGCTATAGATGTCGTCCTGTGATGGATGCCCTCCTGCTATAGATGCCCTCCTGCCATTCCGTGCTATGGTTGCCATTCCTGCTATTATTGTCCGCTACAGATGCAAATCCACCTATAGATGCCCTCCTGCTATTGCATGCTATAGTTGCCCGTCTTGCAGTTCAACTTGCGTTGCATTACATTCCTTGCAAACTATCAAACTAGCCCCTAGATATGGCTTTGAAATTCTTGTCTTGTAGTGGCCCGTGGCCCTCTTACTAGTTCTTACAGCAGTTGTTAATGCACGTTTTGCCATACGGACAGTCACTGTTAGCGCAGCACTCCACCTTCTTGCATGAGCCTCCACAACACTTCTTTCCATAGCCACATTGGCTGCTAGAGCAGCACTCCGTGCACTGGCCACTGCAGCACTTCTGTCCGTAACTGCAGTGACTGTCAGAGCAGCACTGACCACTAGTGCAGACCCCTCCGCAGCACTTCTTTCCATAGCCACAGGTGTTGTCGCTGCAGCATTCCTTGCACTGGCCACCGCAGCACTTCTTTCCATAGCTGCAGTGGCTGTCAGAGCAGCACCGAGCACCAGTGCAGACCCCTCCGCAGCACTTCTTTCCATAGCCACAGGTGCTGTCGCTGCAGCATTCCTTGCACTGGCCGCCGCAGCACTTCTTTCCATATCCGCAGTGGCTGTCAGAGCAGCACTGAGCACTTGTGCAGACCCCTCCGCAGCACTTCTTTCCATAGCCACAGTTGCTGTCGCTGCAGCACTCCTTCAACTGGCCGCCGCAGCACTTCTTTCCATAGCCGCAGTGGCTGTCAATGCAGCACTGGGCACTGGTGCAGACTCCTCCGCAGCACTTCTCTCCATAGCCACAGTTGCTATCGCTGCAGCACTCCTTGCAGTGGCCGCCGCAGCAGTTCTTTCCATAGCCGCAGTGGCTGTCAGAGCAGCACGTGGCAGTGGAGCAGGCACCATTGCAACACTTCTTTCCATAGCCACAGTTGCTGTCGCTGCAGCACTCCTTGCACTGGCCGCCGCAGCACTTCTTTCCATAGCCGCAGTGGCTGTCAGTGCAGCACTGGGCACTGGTGCAGACTCCTCCGCAGCACTTCTTTCCATAGCCACAGTTGCTGTCACTGCAGCACTACTTGCACTGGCGGCCGCAGCACTTCGTTCCATAGCCGCAGTGGCTGTCAGAGCAGCACGCGGCAGTGGAGCAGGCACCATTGCAACACTTCTTTCCATAGCCACAGTGGGCGTCGGTGCAACAAGCACACGTCTTGCAGTCTCCGTTACAACATTTCTCGCCATAGGAACACTCATTGTCTTTCGTGCAGCCAGGTGGTTTCACATAAACATAGCCGCTGCCAGTTGCACTCACGTCCACAAATGCAACAGCGACCAGTAGCACGCTCACTGTGAGGAAGACCAGTGAAGACATGTTGCCCACTCCCCTTGTCATGATGCGCTTCTAGACTTTGTTCTTATGGACTCACCTGGGCCACCAGCCTGCATGGATGCACACACGCACA